CTGCTTCAGAAATGGGTTTGAAACTTCGAGGCCATGGTTCGTGACATATAGCAGCAACCCATCAGAGTGAATTACCCGACATATTTTCCGATCATTTGAAGGAGGATTTCTTGAGGTAAGATCATGGAACTTGAGAGATGAAAGAGCAATGTTGTCGCTGTTATGGTGTATCTCAACATTGATCAACTTGGAGTAAAACGAACGGGGATGCCATAACATGAACTCTTGGGGGGAGGCATGATTGGACAAGTGCTTCTCGATGAATATCAGGTCATGGAACAGAGAGTTCCATTGTTTGCAAACGAATCTGAGTCGTGACAGAAATTTGGTGGGAACCCTCGAGAGTATTTCCTCTTCCAAATCACTTGGAATCTTCAAAGACATTGCTCCTTGTTGTGAATCTTGGCTCAGACAACAAGAAACACGACCTAACTCAAAGCCCTAGCTCCCCCCTCCTCCTCCTCTTCTTCTTCTTCTTCTTGGAGGAGCAGCCCCCGTCTTCTTGGAATTCTGTGTTTTCAGCCGTTATGTCAACTTTTCAGATTTCTCAGAGATTGTGACTATATAAAGTCAGCAAGCAATCTTGTTTCTTGATCAGGTTGGTTAAACCAGAAAGTCGTGTCAGCAATCTTTGACAGCTCAGCATCTCCTCCTCCTGTTCAGAAACTTGGTTGGGGGAGAGAATTCAACTTGCATACACTCCTACGTTATATGCCACATTCATAAATCGAAGTACCAGAAACCGCTCCTCCAAGCGACGTATTCTCCGATCAGAGTGGCAGTGTGGAGGAGCTTCAGGTCTCCAGCAGCTCTGTTGTATCGGACGAGCTCAATGGCATGTCCGGTAAGCTCTCTCCGAAATCTGTAGCGAAGTACGGATTGTATTTGGTCGGGGTTTTCGTATTTCAAACGGGGCATTATCAAAAATGCCCTTAAAATGGTACTTGTACTTCATGGAGTACCCTTCTCCCAGAAAAAAAAAACACTCCCTTCACATATACCCTTCCCATATGTACAATTTCCATTATACCCTTATATTATAAAACAAATAAAATAAAAATAATAATTTCTCTGCTAAAAAACAGTGTCGATTTCTCTCTCTTCGTTATCAGTCTTCATTCTCTCTCCTCCGGCGTTTGCGTTCTCTCTCTCCTCCGGCGTTTGCGTTCTCTCTCTCCCTCCGTTTGCTCACTCTCTCTCTTCCAATTTGAACTCTGTCTCCGCCGCTGCCGATTTGCTCTCTCTCTCTTCCAATTTGGTTGCTCTCTCCCCATCGATTTGCTCTCTCTCTCTTCCTATTTGGTTGCTCTCTCTCCATCGATTTG